TTTCTAATGTTTTGCCGTTTCTTTTACTGTTTCGGAGTTCGGCGAGCACTGCTTCATCTCCCCAGATGGCGATCAGATCCTGTACCTCCCGTTCGGTCCAGGCTGGAGCTCTTCTGCGATCCTGGGACTGGGACTGGGACTCCATCATGGTTACCTGTGCTGATGGGCTCTGCATGGTCACCTGTGCTCTCCACGCTGAGCAAACAGGAAATGAAATTCAAACGTTCGCGGGGCTTTTCCTGTCTACCTGGCCAGTGCATCTGAGATGAGAGTGCTGTCCAGAGCGGTCACAATGAAGCACTGTGGGATAGCTCCCGGAGGCCAGTAATGTCGAATTCCGTCCACACTAGCCCAATTCCGACCCCCTAAGGTCGATTTTATCGCTAATCCCCTTGTCGAGGTGGTGTTAGGAAACCGGTTTAAAGGGCCCTTTAAGTCGACAGAAAGGGCTTCGTAGTGTAAACGTGTCCAGGCTTAAGTCGATTTAACGCTGCTAAAGTCGACCTAAACTCGTAGTGTAGACCAGGTCTTAGACAGAGCCAAGCACGTTGTTGGTGATTAATAATAACTGTGTGGTATACATCTGTCCACTAAGAAGATAACACTGTGAGCAATCTCCTTAAAATCTACTGGAGATCTGCAAGCTGGCAATCTTTTTTAGTCACTACTGGGTGAATTCAAAATCAGTGACATAAGAGATAAAGGTTTCATATGCTCCACTGCTGAGCCTTTGAGCTAGGTGGTACATTTATCAATAAATACCTGAACTAAAACTTTTCTGGGCATCTTTCCTAATGTTGTCATGAAGATACAGCTGTCTCAGAAGGTCAATGTGTTGCACTTGCAGACCTTTCACTAGCCATCTTGGTACTGTTAGCATGTTGGACTGAGGTTAAAGGCAGGAAATGTAACTACATAGGTCCTGCAAGGGTTCCAAGTCAGCCTCTATATTATCTTTTCTGTCTATATGACACTACAGTGCTTTCCGTTCTGTCCTACAGAAAGTATCACCTACGTTCCCCTTTGACCTCTACTAACCATTGTTACTTTAGCTTTTTCACATTCTTTTGGCTGTCCTTAACTTAGCTTTTGGTTTCCATGTAATATCTGATTCCCTTTTCCTGTGTTTCACTCTCCCTTTTTAAGCTTCTGTTCCATCTTCCTGAAAAAACATCTGTAATTCTGCTCTGTGCATCACAACTGACAGTACACTGCATCACAATTGGCAGGACAGGACCACTGCAGAGCTGGGCTTGTGGTCCATAGATTCTCCAGGAAGCAACCAAAATTCTCTCCTCCTCACAGTTACTAAACATTCAGAACATCTCTCTCCTCCAAAAAGGTTTTCACAGTGATAAATGGCACGGTAGTTGAGCTGCTCAGATATAATGGTGATAGGAGGCATCAAATACCTATATCAATAAGAGACTGGTTGCAAGATGACACTTCTTCCACAGGTCTTGCCCCTTTTTAAATAAGAGGCTTCCTTGTTCTCTCACAATTACCAAGCTGTGAGACCAGCCAGTGCCGGTTTTGTAGCGTCTACTGTTCCAGGACCTTTAGCTTTGAAGATGTTTTAACCATATGCTTCTCCCAGCTGTGGAATTCTCTTCCACCTCACATCCATCATTCCACCCTTGTCATTATGATTAAATGAAACTTTTTTTGGGGGGGTCCCTTTGGAAATAAAGAAAGAAACCCCAAGTGTTCAAAGAGAAAGGAAAGAGATCTGAAGTGGGGGACTGAAGCATAAAGCCACATGGTGAGGTTGGTGTGAGACCATGGAACAGGTCCAAGAAGATCCTCAGACAGATTTCATTATAATGCCGTCTCCTTCACATTCTACCTTAGTTCAGTAAAGCTCTGTTTCTACAGCTCAAATTGCTCTTTCAGCCTTCTGAACATGTGCGCCCAGACTGAGCTTTTGGACCTCCCACATCTTTCCAGATGCCTCCAGTCTAACTCTTTCTAAGGCTGTGTCTACACTATGGACCTTACAGCGGCACAGCTGCACCAGTGCAGCTGCACTGCTGTAAGGCCTCCAATGTAGCTGCTCTATGCCAACGTGAGAGAGCTCTCCCACTGGCTCGATTAAGCCACCTCCAATGAGCAGAGGTAACTATTTTGGTGGGAAAGCATTTCCCGCTGACATAGCACTGTGCACACCAGTGCTTTTGTCGGTGAAATTTGTGTAGGTCGGTGTGTCTCCCTCCGACCGACAAACGTTTTGCTGACAAAGGCTTTGTCTACACTAACACTTAAGTGTAACACTGGGACTTGGCTCTGGGCTGTCGATTCCCCCTGAGCCATGACTGTGTTCCTGCTCCCTTCAGGGTAACATAGCCTATGATCTTTCAAGTTCCTGCTTCACTAAGGCCTGGTCTACAACTGAAAGGTTTATCAGTATAACCACATCAATTAGTGGTGTGGATTTTTACTAAAATAGTTATACTGGTATAATCCCCAGTGTGGCTGCAGTTGGTATAAAGGTGATTTATACCACTAGTTATTCCCCTTCCTGTACAGAGGTAGCTATACCGGTAAAAGTACCTTTATACCAGTAAAACTACATCCACACTGGGAGTTGTACCACTTTAACAATCCCAACAGAGTTAAAGTGGTGCAGCTAAGGCCACGTCTACACTATAGTGCCATAGCTGAAAGCATAAGCGCATATGTAGATTCAGCCTTCAGTGATGGAAGGGGTTTTTCTGTTGCTGTAGGAACACCACCTCCCCATAACAAGGGTAGGTAGGTCGATGGAAGCATTGTTTCGTTGACGTAGCTGTGTCTACACCAGGGGATAGGTCAGCAGAGCTATGGCGCTCAGGGAGGTGGATTTTTCACACCCTTAAGCATCACAGCTATGGCAATTTAAATTACATGTGTTGACCAGGCCTTAGCCTCATGCTGGGACTCAGCACCAGCTCCCTGAGGTGGTGTCAGCTCCTGCTGCGCTGGAAGCAGGATCATTGCATTGCATAAAGTTTCCTTGTTTTATTATTTTACTGACACTTGCTTCTAAAAAACCTTTGTCCCCTTACTCCCCTTGCTGCCACAAGTAGCATTCCTCAGAGAGGGGCAAGGAATCTGGACATACAATAAACTACATGACTGAGGGAAGGGGAGGAAAGAGAACACCTGCCATAGAGAAAGAGAAACAAAACAAATCAGCTGGATCACAGCAATACTAAGAATCTTTATTTAAAACCTGAAGCAAGCTACTGATCTCTGAAAGGGATTTTACAAAAAAATCATATAACACTCCAATTTCTGGAGTCACAGCACAGGATATAACATGTGTCCTAAACTAAGCTTGTGGAATCCCCTACAAATCAGCAACCCTGCTCACAGCCTGGCTGGCCCATAATTGGATTCTAGACTGCAAGTGGGGAAGGGAAAGCAGTAAGCAGGAACTCATATGGTTGGGACCTCCAGCCCTTTTGGAAACATCCCATGGCAAGAGATGCTACCTACAAAGGAGGTGTCTGCTATGGTTATTATTTCAATAGTGCCATACGTATGCTCAATCCTTTGGAGACAAAAGAAAATGCGTCGGTACCCTGACCTGAAGAGCTTACAATCTAAGAGCTTGATCCCACAGTCCTTGCTTGGATCAGCAGCTCTATTGACATCAACAGGAAAATCTGAGAATAAATTGTTTCCACCCTGCCCTCTGAGAACATGGAGTTGCAGCCTGGACCCCTCAATTGTGAGACTAGGCTGCTGATTCTATATAACAATCTACTAATGGTGAATGGTGCTAGCACCCAGGAGGGAGAGGAATTATGTAGGGTGATACAAGTGAATATAACCAGGAGTAACGAGATGAATTTAAGACAGGGAAAAATTAAGATGACTGTTAGGAAAACTCTCAGTGAGATGCATTAGGCTGATTAATAGACTTGCAACCAAGGGAAGCTGTGAAGGATCTTTCTCTAGGGATATTTAAAGCTAGACTGGACAAAGCACTAGAAAATTCTTTTGTGGAGAACAATCCTGCATTAGCAATGAAAGACTGCCTGTTTTCATACATGAACATGGGTGTTGCAAACAGGTTTTGGGGATTGTGACCACCTTCCTACGGTTAGAAGGAAGGTCATAAAATGTTTTCTGTTGTAACATGAGGTCAAAGTACAGAAAACGTTGAAAAGCCCCGTTTTAATAGAACTTTTCCCTCTCTGATATTTATGATTTTGTATAATAACTATATATACTGATAGAACTATAAAATTAACATGGCACACAATAAATGGATTAAAAACTGGCTAATTTACAGGTCTCAAATTGTAACTGTAAACAGAGAATCATCATCAAGTGGGAGTGTTTCCAACGGGGTCCCACTGGGATCGGTTCTTGGCCCTATGCTATTTAACATTTTTATTGATGATCTGGAAGAAAACAAAATAATCACCGATAAAGTTTTAAGGTGACACAAATTGGGGGGGTGGGATAAATAATGAAGACAGAGCAATCTGGATCACTTGATAAACTGGGCGCAAGCAAACTATGTGTTTTAATATGGTTAAATGGAAATGGATAGATCTAGGAACAAAATGTAGGCCATACTTACAAAATGTGGGATTCTCTCCTGGGAAGGAGTGACTCTGAAAAAGATCTGGGGGTCATGGTGGATAATCAGCTGAACATGAGCTCCCAATGTGATGCTGTGGCTAAAAGAGCTAATATGATCCTGGGATGCATAAACAGGAAACTCTCAAGTAGCAGAGAGGTCACTTTACCTCTGTATTTGGCACTGGTGCAACTGCTGCTGAAATACTGTGTCCAGTTTTGGTGTCCACAAGTCAAGAAAGATATTGATAAATCAGAGAGGGCTCAGGGAAGAGCCATGAGAACGACTGAAGCATTAGAAAACATGCCTGATAGTGAAACTCTCCAGGAGCTCAATCTAGTTAGCTTAATGAACAGAAGGTTAAAGGGTGATTTGATTACAGTCTAAGTATCGACATGGGGAACAAATATTTAATGGACTCCTTCAATCTTGCAGAGAAAGGTATAACACGATCCAATGGCTGGACCTGAAGCTAGACAAATTCAAACTAGAAATAACATGTAATCTTTTTAACAGTCAGTAATTAACCACTGGAACAACTTTCAGAGTGTGTTTTGTTAGGGTAGGTGGCCTGTCTAAATTCTTCTAATGGTACTCATCACTGAAGTATCTGAGCTTCTTCCAAGAGACAAACAAGTACCACAACAGGCCACTGGTCTAATTCTCTTTCATGAGGAAGCCAGGGACATGGTTTAGGCTTGTGCTTTAAAATGATGAATGCAACTGTTCATGGAAAGAAAGGTTTATGGAATTGAAACAAGGGACCATGGGACAACTGCACAGCTAACCTGCAGTTAGCTGCAACCCACTATTGGATTATCAACAAATGCAGGGAATAGGAGTGACATTACCTACTCTCAGCTCCCCAATGCTCACAGCCCCTCACTTTTAATACATGTCCCGTGCCTGTGCTTGCCCTTGCATTAAACAAACAGTATCTAACATCTCCATTCATCTCTCCATTGAAACATCATCTTCTATAACCAAGAAGCAAATTAGCAGCTGGATGGAGTTTATCTCCTGCTTTGCCCACAAGGAGTGAAATAATAAAAAAAGCCAAGTTATTCCCTAATTATGTTTTCCCAGTGTCCCATCTTCTCTGTACAGGTTTTAGATCACAGGCTCTTCATGACAGAGTCTGTCATTATTACTTGTTAAGTGCTACAGACTTGGTTTTGTACAAAGCACAAAAATAAGAATGTAAAGACACTCACTTAATCTGAACATTTCTTTCCCCTCAAATCCCTTGTAATTGCTCATAGATAATCCAAACTAGCCTTTAAACTCTGTGCCCCTGTATGAGGGTAACAAGGCTCTCCCTCTAAGGAATTTCAATATGTATAAGAAAGACGCATGAGATTTTTCAGAGGGATTTATGTGGGCAGAGCTGAGATTTTCCTTGGGACACAAAACATAAATCCAATTTGGGTCTCTCCCCAAGAGTAAATAGGTATTAGTGGATAAGACATGGACACTTTGTCTAATGTAACTATTCATCATTCATGATTTAGATTGTTCGAGAGCGTTTTGTTTGATTTTGTAACTTACTTTGTGTGTTGTGTTATGTTATGGGTCTTCATGGCTGGCCATTTAATTTTAAAATTTTAATACAAAGAAAATTTAAAAACAATTAAAACATTTTCTGACATGCTCATAATCAAATCTACCCCTCACTCATTTGATTTATAGGTCATAGAGAGCAAAGCAAGGGAAACATGCAAATCCATCATCTACATCTAGGGGTGCAAGTTCCACCCCATGTTGAAAATTTATTTTTGCTCTTAATGGATGGTCCTGTCTGGAGCTCCACCCACTCAGCCAACCAGTAGGTTTTGTAATGACAAGGGCCACCTTGAAAACACCCAAGAGCTCACAAGGCAACTAGGGTTGTCAAGCAAGCATGGCATGGTTCCTTTTGTACACACTATCCAGGCACATCTTCTATATATGTAACCCAGAGTGAAGCTGTAGAGAGGTCTTTCAAGACATAGGGAAACAAGCAGAGTACAACCAAGGATACAGGAAAAGAGAAAGCAGGAGAGACCCCCCTCTCATCAATACTGCAAACTGAAGAGCAATCAGGGATAAAGGGAAAGGGTTGTGGGGAGAAAAGAACCCTCCCCAATATACTGCAGAGCAAATGCCATCAGGGATGCAAGGAAAGGTGGAGAAGTTAAACCCTTCCTATATATACCACAGAGCAGAGTACAACTGGAAATCCAGGGACACCCTCCCATATATACTACAGAGCAGAGTACAATCAGTGATAGAGGGAGACCCCTTCCATGCATACTCCGGAGATAGAGGGGAACCCCACTTATGTATACTTCAGAACACTAACCTTTGAGGAAGACAGGGAGAATGTGAGACAGGGGAAGTGGTTCAATCTTTAGAGAGTGCTTTGAACTCAGATAATACCCTATATAACTTTTAGTACACAGTGGGACATGGACTTCAACTTCAAGTGTCCTCGTGATTGCTTACGGTAGCTTCTGAAGCTGGATGCCCATGGATAGTATTCCAATATTTCCTCTCTGTCATCTCCCCAATGAAGACTTCTCAGAGGATATTTTAGGGCAACTTGATCCAAGCTTCCTCTCATAACTCCAGTCTGCACATTTTTGTCTAATTAGTTCTGCCAACCCCTTGTCCAGCAGGATAAATGGAGAGGATGAGGAATAAGGAAAGAATACTGCAATTCACAGGGCAAGACTAAAGACACTCCAAACAAGGAAGGACAAAAAGTGCTGAAGGACCATGCTGATAGTGAGCCACTGGCAATTCCTGACAGGACAAGCATCACGTTTGTTTCATAAGAAACAACATCTTGACTGGCAAGTCCCTCAGTGAGAGGCCTATAGGAGTTTTGCTAATACAGAATTCAAGTCCCACATTTCAAACCTTGTTTGCACTTGCAGTTCCCCCTCCTCCTCTCCTGACCAGGAATCCTAAGCTGGCCTTTGTTTCTGTCCTTATGCTTGCCAAAGACAGATTCTTGCCTCTGCATAGCCGCAGTAGGACTTTCTCCTGTTATATTCAACCCTTTGCAACAAACAATATGCCCAAGTGGTGACCAGCTTCATAACAAAGACCAACACCTGCAAAACCACAAGGCTCTGTACACATCCCAGCAGATAACAACAGGTGCTGGGACAGGAGATGAGTGCGTAATAAGTACTCACAGCAATAGCAGGAATGCTTTAAAAAAGCTGCAGCCCCAACATCACCAGTTACTTTTTACACAGATTCACAAACATGATCTGGGGATGTGTGGGGCACACAGCTGGAGGACGGTGAGCATCACGCACCAACACTGATGAGATGGTTATTGCCAAATGAGACGTTCAGTGCTGATGTACTTCGAAGTCCAACATTTCATAAATGCAACCAGCTCCGAGTAGAGACACTTCCATCTAGCTGTATCCAGAGCCCTTCTCTTGTGGTGTTTTAAAGAAGTTAGCTGGGGCAGCAGCAGTGGATTTCTCTGCTGCCTGGGTTCTGCCCGTCCAGTCAGAGCTCTGGGACCTCTGGGACTGTGTCGCTGGCAGGGATGAGTCTGCTGCATCCATGTGGACAGGTAAAGCTGCTGGAACACAAAACAGTAGGAGGAAAAGGAGAATGTGGAGACAGAGGACAGGAGAAAAGAAAGTTAAAACTGGTAACCTCATAGCAACCTAAGTACTAATCATAGATTTCTATGTGTTATTCTAGTGGCTACCAGAAGATCTAGAGCAGTGAATCTCATCCTTTTCCATACTGGAACCTCTCTCCCATTTAGCAACGTGTGTAGGGCAACGAGGTCACAACCCCAATACCTGTTTGTGACCCCCAAGTTGAGAAATCCTGACCCAGAGCATCTCTTCTGCAGGTATTTTTTTAAAATTCAAGTTTGAATAGTTTGGATGAAAGAGGATAATTTAATTAGCACCGGAGAAGGTGAAAATAAGCTTTATACGCTACAGAATAACGCATCCTGGGCAAGCACAACTGTTTTAACATGAGGGACAGGGTGGAGTGATCATGTGAGCTCTATAAGGAGAGACCCGCAAAGGAAAGGCAGTGATGTTCTGGTGTCCAAATAGAGAATGGTACAGATAAAGCAAATGCACTGTGAACCTCTGCATGGACTCAGTAGGGTAGACAGTGTATCACAAACAGCTACAAAGATGGGGCAAGACAGACCAGAGTAGAACTCATTTGCAATCTCCTAAACCAAACACTTCTTCAAGTTGGACCAGACTGGAACAGGTCAAAGTCTCTATACCTAAGCTCAATGGTCACCTAATGTCTGGACTGGATTGCAGCTAGCAGTTTAGAGGTAAAATGCTCCATATCCCATTCCCAAATCTCCATCTCCTGGGTCAACCAGTCCCCATTAACAGAACTTGACAGGATGAATAATTGTTTAGAGGAATAAACTAAATGATACATTATTTCATTTGTTAGTCTCAGTTAGTTACAGTTTCTTTCTGCTTCTGTGTTTTGTACAGCATCAAGTACACAGCCAATACTTAAATATTCTCACAACAGAAGAGAATTGTTCACATCCCTTTTGCATTCAGCCAAGCTACAGAAGACCATCTGGGACGTCCAATCTGATGCACTCCATTACAAACATCTCCTGACTCCTATGGCTACCTGCTCTAGCCAGAATTTGTGTTTAAAACATGACAGAATTCCCATCTGCTACTCCGCTTTCTAGCTGGAAAGCCCTGGCTTTAAGTCTCAGCCTTTCTGAGCACCTGAGTAAAAAGGACTTCCCAGCACATTTCTGAAGACAAGAGTCACTTCCTGAGGCACTGAAGTCACCTTCTGAATTCCTTCCTGTTGTAAGTTCTCAAGAGTTCTGGGCAAAATGCCCAAAATTTCTCTTCTCCAGTGACATCTATTTTAGCAGTAGTCGCTAATCCAGTTTGCCTCAGGCAGCAGCGCTGTTACTGGAAATTTTCTGCTCCGACAATGTGATATAGATTTGGATGCTCCCCTTAGCTTATTTGGTACATCCAGGCATGCCTTTGAATATAGGTCTCTCTGACAGAACAAGTGTTACCAGACACTATTTACTGGGGATCAAGGGCATAATTAACTTAGCTAGCCTGTTAGGTTACCAAATAAATGGAGTCCCAGGTCTCTCCTTTCATTCCTGACACTGGAAAGGAGCGAGTGTGCGCATCTCACACGGCTTTTAACAACATCTGCTGAATTCAGTCAAATTCAACTTAAAACTTTGTGTGGATGGGGGAGGGTGTGACTGGGAAGATTTGTAGCTGCATGTTTAAGAAAGAAGCTAAATTCATCACAATGACAGGGGAGAGTGTTGGCAGAGATTTGAGCTATTTATTCTTTTAGGAAAATCCTATAAAGAATGACACAAGGAAGCCTCTATCTGCAGACTTGTTCATCACGCTGGTGAGGAGTCCGATAACAGATGTATGCAGAAGCGTGATTTAGTGCCAGGAGCTGGCCCCTGATGTGTATTAATACAGCTGCAAAGCGGAACAAGCCCCTCTTCATCACTCATCTCTATAAAAGACGTGGAATTCGAGATGGCCCGATGTTAGGCAGAGCAAGCCCATTTGTTCTGCTGACTGATGGAGCCAGCTTAGGCTGTGTCCTTCACCTCCATGGGGCACTCAGGTTGCAAAAAAGGAGCTCAATGAAGCAGGACCTGGTCAACAAGTGAGACGAGAGCAGTTGGACTCAGCGAAGGAGCTATTTAAAGGAGAAGTCTGGCACTGTACATGTGCCTGTTGCCTACTCTCATTTATGGGCCTGAATTCTAATTCACCCCAGAACTTTATCGTTCATTGAAGGAATAGGGTTCCTCAAAGAGACATCTGCAGTGAGAGAAAGTGAGGTTGCCAAACTAACCCAAGGAAGGGGAAACCCTGGTTAATAACATGATAGTAACTAGTGAGAGTGCACGAGAGAGGGAGGGAGTCTGTGATTATCTCTTTGTGTTATCTTATAAATACAAGGCTGGATTAAATTGTTTAAAGTGTTTTGGGATCTATTTTGATGACAGCAGCCATAGAAATGGAAGATCGGTCTATAGAAACAGAGCAGAAATACACCACAAAAGTTACATTCTGGCAGGAAGAACCATGGAAAACAGCAGAAGCATAAAACAAAATGATAGGACAATAATTCCCATCAAGAACTCTATATACCCAAGAATGATCATAATTTGCTATTCAGATACCTTTCTATACACACCCTTCCACACTAGGAATCTGATTATCCTGTTATAACATTCAAGGCCACCAATGGACCTGCTAAATCCAAGAATACCAGCAAACAGACTTTTGCCAGGAAGAAGCAAACTGACACTCTTCATTTGCTTACCAGACACACTTTTTCTGTCCCTTTGAAACAAGCACAAAGATCCCTCTGGATACACACTGACTAGACATATAATCTGAACTGTATTTACTGCATGATTTCCTTCCAGCTCCGTTATTCTTAATCTCCCACAAACCCCCAGAAAAGGCACTGACATGATTCCACCCATCCACTGGTGGTTCCTCTGGTCTTTTCCATTGTTTCCTGGATCTGACCATCGCTTTGCTCTTGGCCACCCACCTTCTTGCTGCTGATTCCTGACACAAAAATTTAGTCACAAGCTACCAGAGGAACATGGGTCACATAGAAATTGCATGTTGGAATTAAAAAATTTCAAGGAGTGAACTCACTCTAGGCAGGTATCTCCCCACCCTCCCAAAAACCCTTTGATCCTCAGATTTATACCCATTTCACACCTGAGTCACCTTCAAAACCCTACAAAATAATCACTTCTGAGGTATAATCCACCTGGAAAAAAAGCCAGAATTCTAGATGTTACATTCCTGGAGCAAGAAAGGGAACAGGGGTCATTACCACTTGCAGTGGTAAACGGCTCCAGGTGGAGTTGGCATTGCCAGTATACATATTGAGAGGTGAGCCATTAACCTTAGCAAGAATTAGGCTCTTGCAGCAAAAGGTCCAGAGATCTCCTTAAGAGAGGGAACCAAAACACCAGTTCATACCAGGCATCGTGAAAGAGATCTGGGAAGTACAGGGGCTCACCTCCTCATCACTATGGGGATGCATGGCTTAATTTTAGAACTGTGGAAATAATGGCTTATGCAGCAGCAGCACTGAATATTGACACTGCAAGACCTTGCAATGTAAATGATACTAACTCACCATGGGTGCATCTTCATATACTCATTCATTAGGCCACTCTTTTTGTTACTGTGCAAAATGCAAGCCACTTACAGCCATAACTCACTATCACCTTCTCACCTGTGTTTCATTTAACTTTAATCCTCAATATTCCTACAAATATTGTGCTATTTTCAGACAGTCTTCCCCCTCTTTCCAACTTAGGAATTCCTACCTTAGACCTCCACACCAAGATTTTCAAGTGACTAGTGATTTTTGGGTGCCCAACCTAAAATACCTTCAAAAGGCATGGTTTTCAGAGGGCGAACGCTTCAGACTTTCTGAAAAAATCGAGGCCCTTTAAGGCATCACAAGTTGGGGATCCAAAAACCAAAGCACCCAGTATCACTAGCCACTTTTGAAAATCTTGGTCCCAGTGTTTTACCTATGCTGGAATGTCCCCTCAGGACAAGTGACGGTGCACGGACCAGGGATGCTAGGGTTAAATCAAGTTACCTGAAGTAGGGCTGGAAAGAGAGGCTGCAGCTGCTGCTGGTTTTCGTTTCCTCTTGATATCCCTTGAGCAGGGTGGTCCCAGGTGTATATTTGTCTGTCTGGGGAGGAAAACTGAAATATTAAAAAGATTGTCCTGATATCACTTTATCAGGAAGAGACACTGACCACTAAGCCTTAACACTACCTGGCTAGCTTCCATCCACCTGCTTGCTGCCTGGGTAAAGAGACAGCCTCTAGAAGAAGCAGCAACTCATTCACATCCCCCACTGCCTCCACAGCCTATGGCGAAAACTTTGTTTCATCCTCAAGCTCAGGCAGCAGATCCAGGATATGAGCTGGGGCAGCAGATTAATTTTCCCAAAATATAGACTGTTCTTCAAAGGCTCTGATATAGCTAATAAAATCATTGCACAGGCAGAGATGGGACTGAACAGGTACTTAGTGGATGCGATATCAGCATTTCTGTGGGGCCCTACCACTTTCTGCAGAATGTAAGCTTTCATTAAAAAGTAAGGCAAGTTTTCTTGCCCCTATGGTTATGAAAATAGCTCTGCACTCACATCACATTTAGAATGTTATTACCTTGGGGTGTGCCTAGACTACACATTTTTTTATCTGTTTTCTGGCACAAATACATGAGTGCTTAAGCTGGTGCAGCTGTAAATCAGGTTCCTGTGTTTTCAACACTGTGTTATGCAATTGTGCTGAAAACACCAGTACCTGGTCCATGCTAGCACATACATCATTTTGTAATGCAGCCTTACTGAGCCAATGCATAGGCTGAAATAGTTTAAAAGCCTGATCTGCCCATTCATATGAGCTTATGTGAACTCTGAAGCCTAATGATAATGGTTTCTATGGCACCAATTTGACAGTTTATCACTTTAGAAAAAACATTCTATTATTATGGATCACAATGGAACTGGGATTGTGGATGAAGTTTGAACAAAGTACTGTCATCTAATTCCTCCCACCAACACTGACCTCTGCTCATAAGAAGAAATATCAAGAAATTTAATTCAGAAAATATATTCTCAGCAGTAGTTTGAGGAGACCCACCCAAACAATCCAGAATGAAAAAGGAAGAATAACTTATCAGTGAAATTGAGTTCAAGTTCCTGCTCTGCCACAGACCTCCTGTGTCACTTAGGGCTTGTCTACACTGCCCCACAGTTCAGACTACAGGGATGTGAATAGCAGTGCTGTAACTCCCCCAATTGGATGCTGCGAGTGTAAACTAAAAGGTTCCTCACTGGCAATAATGTAGAGCAGGGTTTCTCAACCCATAGATCAGGACCCAAAATTGAATTGCCAGAATGTTTCAAAGGGTTGCGTGGCAGCTCCTGTCCCACAGGGCTGGCTGGGCTCGCATCCCTGCTCCAGGCACTGCAACCTCTGGGTCCCAGAGCCACTCAGGTTTGACCCAGCTGTCATGATAATGGGAGTCCAGATAGGCCAAATTTGAGTGAGGTCACAACTCCACTCTCACAAATTTGGTCCAGGCAGGGGGGCAGGGCCAAACCTTAGCGGCGCTGCAACCCCAGAGGTTGTAATGCCCGGAGCAGAGACCCAGCCCCACAGTACCGGAGCTGCAGGAACCGCTACTGTGGGGTGAATGCTGGGCAGGACCCAACCGAAACTACCCAGAGCCTCCACCCCCAGACTATTTTTACCAGCTTAGGTTAAAAACTTCCCCAAGGCACAAATCCTTTCCTTGTCCTTGGACGGTATTGCTGCTACCACCAAGTGATTTAGACAAAGATTCAGGAAAAGGACTACTTGGAGTTCCTATTTCCCCAAAATATCCCCCCAAGCCACTTCACTCCCATTCCTGGGGAGGCTTGAGAATAATATACCAACCAATTGCCTTTAATAAAAGTACAGACCAGGCCCTTTATTTTTAGGATACTAAAATCAATCAGGTTCTTAAAAGAAGAACTTTATTATAAAGAAAAAAGTAAAAGAAGCACCTCTAAAATCAGGATGGAAGGTAATTTTACAGGGTGATAAAAGGATTTAAAGCACAGAAGATTCCCTTCTAAGCTCAACTTCAAAGTTACAAAAACAGGAATAAACTTCCCTCTTAGCACAGGGAAAATTCACAAGCTAAAACAAAAAATAATCTAATCCATTTCCTTGCCTTTACTTACAATTCCTGTAATTTTAGATGTATCATTTTAAGGTATCTTTTCAAGAGATGGGTTACCTGCTTGGTCTCTCTCTCTCTATCCAGCGGGAACAAACAAAAAGAGCACAAACCACCCCCCCGACCCCCGATTTAAAAGTATCTTCTTTTCCCATTGGTCCTTCTGGTCGGGTGCTAACTAGGTTAATTGAACTGATTAACCCCTTACAAGTAAAATGATTCTGTACCTCTGTCCAGGAGTGATTTTATGTTACTGCATACATAAAGGTGTTACCCTTCCCTTTTTATTTATGACACCTCCATTATGTGCTGCCTTGTGCACACTGCTATCCACAGCCCCATAATCCAAACTGTGGGGCAGTGTAGACAGCCTAAATCTCTCTCTGCCTCTGTTCCCTGTCTGTAAAACAGGAATAACAGCACTTCCTATCTCACAGAGGTGTGGCGAAAAATTACATTAAAGATTGCGAGGCATTCAAATACTACAGTAATGGAGGCCCTGTAAGTACCTAAGATATAATGAAAGCTTCCATTTCTTTCAGATCCTCATGCTTTTACAGATGGTATTTCTATAATTATTTTTTCTAGTGGTTTAATAACTATGCTTTTCATCCTTAGGGTCATGGGTTCCAGTCTCTTGTAGGTCATCAGGGAAATGAGGTTCGTGCTTTCATATTTCCAACTGAGTGTTTGTTCATTTAGAAATATGTTTGCTCATAATGTGTTCACACTGTTTGTGAATGTGAGCTCATAGGAATCCAGGACTGGATGCTGCAATTCAACTCTCAACTGCATCAGCACAACAGTGTGGGAAGCCCTGAGAACAAGGCTAACCAGGGTGTGCTACTAACTGTGGAAGCAACCCTGGCTCTAGCCAGTTAGAAGTCTCAAATTCATGAACACTGAAGAATAAAAATGCACCACAGAACAAAACCTTGCATTCTGTACCATCAATTAAAGTTTAAGAGCTACAAGGAGTCATTATGTGCAACATGAAATCAGTCACTGAGGAGATATTAAGAAATCTTACCAATGGGATGATTTTATTTTAAGCCTGGAAGTCAGCTTCCACTAGAGGCCAAATTTTCAAATGCCCTCAATTTTGCAGGTGCAGATCAGGCTCTAGTATTTGCACGAGTATGTGCAGGAAATAGAAGCCTACTGAAAATCTGGACCTATGGGACAGGTTTCAGAAATGCTCACACAATTAGTGTGCGTGTGTGCATGCAAATGAGGTATTTGTGCACACGGAAAGCCAGCTGGACACCTACGTGACCCCTACTCACTCAAATACTTGATTTGCACACACATTCATGATGGCACACAAAATTTGACAATTGTGGCATGCGTTTCTGAACATCTGAACCTGAATAGCTAGAAGAGACTAAAACAAACAATTGTAGTCTAAGATTTTTATTTTGCACTTTTATAAGGCAGGGCCAGATTACAAGATGATTATATAAACAAGTTAGATGACCATATAAAATAAAATTACTCTTCTATAGCACTTTTCAACTTTATAACTCTACACAAACATTAACCAGTTAATTCCCACAACACTCCTGGCATTATCATTCCCATTGAGGCAAAGGTGTGAAGTGATTTGCCATAGGCCACTGAAGGAAGCTATGGCTAGGATTAGAATACAGGAGCTCCGAGCTCCATGCTCAAACCCCAACCACCTCTCATTACAATTACAAAGAAATAGAATTTTTAAAATGGTTAGTTATTAAAGTTTCAGAATTCTTTACTGTACTGAAAACAAAAGGCGGAGCAGCTTCCTAGTCAGATGTGGGTACCAACTATGCTGCATTCAGCAGCCCTGCTACTACTACAAAGGCTCAGGGGTCATAAAGCATAATATGTATTTCATTCAGATTTATCCCTTATTGATCACCCACACTCCAGTTAGTTAATCAGGAGCCTACTGACTGCTCACTAGCTTTGATTGACCTGGTGGTAAAAGTGTCAATTTCAAGTGCTCAGTGCACTTTAGGGCACTGTAAATCTGCATAAAGCGGCATATGTTGGGGGGTGGGGGGACAGATGTGCCCTATTAAAGTGCATTAGGATGACAGAGAAAGTCCAGGCATACAGAGTATATCTTATCAAGGATGTGGCACTGCTCTATATTAACCTACAAATTTAATATATTTCATATGATTCTCTGGTTGTTGTAAGGAAAGGTATAGGGTAGCTATACTGGGTTACTTGGAGCTGCATGCATAGCAAAAGCAAACAGGAAGGCCAGTCAATTGGTATAGATAAGTCATCTTCTGACAAACAGCAAGAGACCAGGTTGAGCCATTAACTGTAAAGATCCTACATATGGGCTGTGATGAAGTGGGAATTTTTTGTAATGTTTGTATGAAGCCTATGTATATCTCAGTTTCCCCTATATGCTGCATTGTTACCTAGTGGGGGGAAAATGTCTGTTTGCTCTTGGGCCAAGCTAAGACACAAGTATGAATGGTGCCTAGCTGTCTGCGACTAAGTGTGTCATTGAAAAGGAATCGGCTGAGGCCAGCCCCACATCACTTCAGTGGAGAATCCATGAAGACAATGGCAAAAAACCTTGCAACCAAATACCATAGATTGCCTCATCTCTCAGCAGGGAGGCTAAACAGCATTTCCACAGCTGGAGAACAAAGGACTGTGGGATATGAGGTGAAAGTTAAGTGTGGGCTGCGGGTAGCAGTCGGGCACACACTGGGGAATCTGATGAAGGAGGGACAGACAGAGCTTGAACAATGGGGTTCACTACAGCTTGGCTGGGTTCTGGCTACCCAAAATGGACTATGCTTTAACCTTCATTTCTCTATGATAACCAAGGACCTCCTAAGCTGTGTTCCAGTTGACTAATAAGCCTGACTGTTTGACAACGCTGGCTAGTTGTCTGCAGATGCTTGCAGGAGTGCATTGCTCCTTAAGAATGTAAAAATCTCTCTCGGG